CGTACCGTGTAGTAGTTGACCAGGCAGTTGACGTCATCTAAAACAAAGTATCGCGGCTGGTAGCCCTTCACCATGTTGGTCCACTTGTACAGCTGGCCTTCCATTAGGATCATCTGTGTTGGGATTGTGGAGGAGAGTGGTGGAGATGGTCAGTTGATTCAGCTGATAAGCTGGTGGTGGTGGTGATGACGGTTTACCTTGGAAGCTTTTTGGGTAATGTCGAAACAAGTTGAGTTGAGTTGATCAGTGGGCGAGACGATCAGGTGAGGTGAACTGCTGCAGTGTGACACTGCTGGACCGCACAGCACAACACCACAATAACAACAATCGGCCAGCTAAAGCAGCCAGCAAGCCAGCAGTAAGCATAGTGTGTGTCTCTGGCGTCGGCGCGGCGCCGAAGGCAACTTTTCCCTCGCTCACTCACTCAATCGGAGGTGTCAGTTTTGTGTCATTGGCGTGGTCTTGTACGACAACAGCTTTGTCACTCTCCCGTGACAGCATCAATCTCTGCTGGCTATTGTTGTTGAGGGCAGTAGTGGTGCTGGTGCTGAATGTACAAGCACCCTCTCCACGGCGAGCAAGTCCAGCATCTCTGGTGAGGATGCTAACTCGCCGACGACTGCTCTGGTCGGCTGCTGCTGTTGATGCTGCTGCCGTCGAAGTCGCTCACTGGATACATTTCTTCGGAGAAGGCTAGCACATTAGCATCGTAATCGGGTTTAATCCCTTATCTTGCTGGTTACTCCTGCAGATTTTTCCCTCTTCTGCTCTTCTGGTCGCCTGATTTGACATTGAATTTCACTTAACATTGAAACCAGTTGGCAGTAGCATTCAAGCTGTGGGGCAAAAGTGATTTTGTGCCGTTTGTCCACTGGTCCGGAACCTTGAGCAGTGCTTAAAATCCGTACTTAAGAGCAGTAGCAGTAGTAGGTTTTATTTGGTTTGCCCTCTAAAATATGTCTTTTCTCTTGTCTCCACCAGCAAGAACTGCACTGCCAGTGATTTTATCTGCACTTCAGGTGATCGTCTGGGCACTGAGCCAAATGCAGATGTCGGGTGTATATTTATCTTGTCTGCTAGACTCAGTTTATAAGAAAAATCTCTGGTTTAAAAACTTTAATCGTGTATTAACTCCAAGACCAAAGTTAACAAAATTGGCTGTTGACCGGAAGTAGGCGGCCCACCTGATGATGGCATTCAAAGTGCCTCTGCCTGCCCTAATTACTTTCATCTGTCTCTTATTTTTTGTGCAAACCGTCAAAGTGCACAGAGGTCATTCAATTTGCCAGTGGCAACTGTCACTCTACTCTCTCTCCTTTAGTTCAACTGTCATCAGTAGAGGCATGGCCTCTGCGAGAGGCCCCTTCCTTTTAAAACCGTTGCACAAAGAGAAGGTAGCCTGTCTGCACACTGTGCACACACGCCAAAACAGTGATTCGGTGACTGCAGTGCTGCTGCAGTGGTGAACACTTGAATTGGCGCCCAGTGCAAGTGGCGCCCAAACATTACTACAACCACCTGTAGTCCCCTTTCTTTGTCTCCCGTTTACCCGCCTCACCATGGCAGCTACCTCCCGTTTGAACACACTCGCTGAGCAGAACAACAATACCATAGCTCCAAGAGTCAACAGCAACAGTGGTGCGCCTAATGAGCAGTTTAAGGCGACCCGAATCGTAAGTTCTTACAGTTGTTGCTGCTGCTGCACAACTTGACTAACCTCTGTTCTAATCCTCTCACAGTGGAATGAAATACTGCAAGCCTTCTACCTGGGCATTGAGTTGAAGAAGCACAGTCGAACGATGAAGACCTACCACGACTGCTTCACCGCCTCCCAGGCAGTCGACTGGCTGAAGAACTACCTGCGAGAGTGCGAGCACTTCAGAGACCGCAAGGTGACCCGATTTCAGGCGCTGAACCTCCTGCGAAAGTACCACAAATCGTGCATCATTGAGCGAGTGAGGGAGAAGGGCAAGGAGGGCAAGGAGTTGCAGGACAACAACGAACTGTACCGCTTCAGCATCAGCGCCAATGAGAATCTGCCCTTTCTGAATGCGAGTCGCAGCGAGGCCGACCTCCTTGGAGCAACCACCAGCGAACCCCTAAAAGATGAGCCTCCTGTTGAGCTGACCCTCAATGAGAAGGTGTTCGCCTACAAAAGCACCATTTACGAGCAGATGCGCGCCGTGCAGCCTTGCATCGGCGACTGGCTGAAGCTGGAGAAGATCGACGGAACGACGCTCTACAATAACATCACCCGCGTCAACGCCAATGGAGTGGTGCAGCTGTCTGATAAGACGGCGGACCTGCCGCACTGGATCATGTCGGCGATGAAGTGTCTGGCTAACTGTAAGTTTTAGTTGAGTAATAAGGCCTTCACACTATCATCCTTTCCCTTTTTCTTTTACCAGGGCCCAAAGCAAGTGGCAGTGGAAACTGCCTGCCAAAGTACCCCGGTTTTGAGTATGACGTTTTCATTTTAGTTCGCGATTACTTCATCAACCTTGAGGAGCCAATCATTCCCTTTGAGTACTACAAACTAATTTCGAACACCTTTGACAGCTACTCTCAGGAGGCAGTTGCCTTGCTGAGAACCAAGCAATCTTTGCCCAGCTTCCTCAAATGCAACTCTGCTCTGATGACTGCAAACGAATCAAATAACAACAATATCATTGCAAATGACATTCTCAACCTGCCAAAGAACTGCGTCTACGAGACGGCTTTTTCCGGTCGAGAGCCGGTGACCAAGATTGTGCCCATCGATGAGCTGTCCATTGTGCTGCCAAATTACTTTTCCCAGCTGAATGGCCTTAAGTCGGTCATATCTCCCTTCAACAGCTCGACCTGTTCGTCGAGCAACACCTTTCGGGCAATCTCTACGATGCCTCGCAGTGGCTCAAAGCTGCGCAGTCAGCAACAGCAGCGACAGTGCCAACAATCATTCATCAACAACAGCAACAACAACAACTCAACCCCGCAGGGCGTAAAGAACACTAGCCAGATGATGTCTGACATTCTGTGTCTGGAAAGTCCGCCCGAGTCAGGGGAGTACATGCTCGGCAAGGATATGAGTGGTGATGGCTCTAGACGGTTCTACTCGCTGCATCGAAATCGAACTCGACAGTCAACGAGAAGCAGCAGCAGCTCTCAGCAGCAAAACATGTCAGTTGTACAAACTCTAGCCAACTCAAGAAAGTACTACACTTTACTGCAGATGATACTCTTTACGCTGCCATCTTCAAATCGAAGGCACCTTCAGCTGCTGCTGAGGCTCTTCCACAAGATTATTCGCAATAAAGAACTGTGCATACTAACCAAGGACTCAGTAGCCCTGAAGGAGCACGTAAGATACAGTGAAATGATTAATTTGATCCAATTTCTAAAATAATTGTTTTTCTCAACAGATTGTCATCACTTTTACCCGATCTCTTTTTAGATGTAAAATCGAAGCAGAGTACAATGAGCTGAAAGCTCGTGAATTTATTTCTTTTTTAATTGACGAGTGCATGGAGGTGTTCAGTCTGCCTGAAGCAATCACCAAAGCACTTGAGAAGGCAATTGTAAGCTGTTTATATAAAAGTAATTTTTAGATAACAAGGTTTAATTTTTATTAAATTTTTCAGGATGACCTAAAAACCCGCAAAAACGGACAGCAGAAGAAGACTGCCGGCAACTTCTGCCAAACGGTTACGAATGAGGAGTTTGAGATGCAGCGTGACGTCCTTTCAGAGGTGGCTCTCAGCGAACTCCTCGAGAGCATCATGCGCGACGAGTCCATGTCGGAGCGCGACAAACTGAAGTGGATTAAACAGGTAAACGACTGATTCTTTTTGCAAAAATTAGCTTCATTTAATGTGTGAATTTTAATTTTGTCCCTACTAGTTTAAATTGTACCACCCTGACGTTTACGACATCTACTTCACTAATTGCACGGCTAAAACAGCGAGTAATAATGGCGGTGCAGCAGTGGCAACCACCACTACCACCGCCACACCGAGAAGCCGCTCTCTCGGAGCAGCCATTCTGCCAAACAGTAAACTTGTAAAGCGCTTTCTTTCACTGCGTTTTTAGCATATGTTGTTGTACAAAATACCTAAATTTCTACCTCCATCATTTTTCATCAGGCAACTTTTTCTATTCTAACTTTTTTAATCATTTACCAAAAACAAAGACAATTTTGCACTTTAAAATGTGGTTTCAGAACAGGTGAAAGTGTGGTAGTGGAAAGTGTTTAATTACACACCGGGGGCAGCTCATTACCGCAAGCATTAATAATGATGGCTTTCCTTGAATCAAAAAGACTGGCCGGTGAGTGTTGGCTGCTGTCCGATGAATGGGGTCAGACTGCTGCCGCCTGAAAGAAAGAAAGACAGAAAGGGAGAGCGGGTGACACTGGTACGACTGAACCAGTCAAAGTGTTGCTATATAGCAAACACACACTGTGCTCCCTGGTTCAGAAGACTTGCGCACCTCGACCGGCCGCCACCAGAATCAGACAGAATCAGGCAGCAGCAGTAGCAGAGGAGGAAGAAGAAAAAGAAGAAGCTGTGTGTGTATTCTTTACCGACTCTTTCGCCAACACACAAGCACACAAGCACACACTTGCTCACTCACCGAAAGAAGCGGCGACGGCGACGGCAGCAGCATNAGCTGTCTGTGCCTGTGTCTCTGTCCCGGTTACGTCTGCCACTGCATCCTCTCCTCACCTTCACTACCACCAGCNTTGGCAGAATGATTTTCAACACTGCTGCCAACAGAAGCTGCAGCTGCCACTTTGGGCAAAGCTGAACTGAACTGTCATTATCAGTATCTGGCAGCCTAAGCACCCGAAAATAGTCACTCATTTGCAGCAGCAGCAGCAGCTGTCTGTGCCTGTGTCTTTGTCCCGGTTACGTCTGCCACTGCATCCTCTCCTCACCTTCACTACCACCAGCACCAGCACTACAGCAGAAGTGCCCACTGTGTACAGCCCCTTCTTTTCCTTTTTCTCTCACTTTCCCACCACCAGCCACTGGCACTGATTGACGACTGCTCGGTAGTCAAAACTGAGATTGATCAGCACTGCTGGCGCCTCTGGATCTGACCAGTTGGCCACCACGGCGCCCAGCGCCAGCTCTTCTTGATTACACACCTCTGATCTGCACACACGCAAGAAGGAAGGAAGGAAGCGCTCCGTGTCAACCTTGTCTTCCCCCGATTGTCGTCCTCTGATCACCGCTCAGCAGCAAAAACAGCAGTAGTGCAGTGCAGAAGCCAGTACACGCACAGAACATGAACAGAATATTCTATTCTCGTGTTGCACTTGAGTGAAAATTCTGCGCAAAGAGGAGAAGAGAAAGAAAGAGAAGTGTAAGAAAGAAAGAAAACGAGCACTTGGCGGCTGGTGACAACAAAAGAAGCAGCTGAAAGAAAGAAGCGACGGTGAGAGGAGCAAAATGAAAACGATGCATCAGTCGCAGATGCCCCAGCACCAACAGCAGCAGCAGCAGCAACAGCCGAAGCTGAAGCAGTTGTACAACCGAGAAAATGTACTCGACCGTACAGCAGCAGCCTACCGACGTCACCACTGACACTGAAAATCATCGACGAAAGATGATGATACCGACTGCTGATAAGAGGGAAGATGAAAGAGTGTGAGACTGCAGAAGACTTCTCTTTCTTTCTCGCCCATCATTCATTCACTCAGCTTCACTGCAATTCAAAGAGAAGGAGGAGAAAGAGGAATACTCACCAAGGAATACTTCACTGTCCTTCACTGTCAGCAA